GTCTTCGTGGAAGTGGACGTGGACGACGCCGAGACCCTGACCAAGGACCTGGGCATCACCTGTATGCCCACCTTCCACTTCTACAAGTTTGGCCACAAAGTAGCCCAGTTTTCGGGCATCAAGAGAGAGAGGCTCGAATATTTCCTGGATGAGCTTCAGTGATAGCTCTCTACACACCCCATATATATATATATATATATATACATAAAAAAAGATATCCCCACCCACTACCATGTTGTTGTTGTTGTTGTTTTCACGGGTGGGGTTGGTGGGGAAGAGGAGAGGGAGTTATTTAAACAAAAATATTAATTAAACCACCGAGAGACACAGAGGCAAACGATTTATTTTTGCTGTTCAAGAAGTGATATTACTCGGAAGTGTTAGGGTCTCGGTTGGGACCACCCAATGTTATAGTAATAAATACACGTATCTGAAGCAATAATAACCCTCGCGTTTGGTAAGAGCGCCTTTGTCGCGTCCTCAAATGCAAAGGGTTACCAATATTATTACGATTGATGGTATTATTAGGGCACAAACACACATGATAAGCCCTCAAAACCTCCTGACAACAGTTGGCTCCTTGGTTCTTGAAGCCCCTTCTCTCCTTACCTGAATATAGCCTCACCTGTCAGACTGAATTAACAGGGGGTGGGGGGAAGGTGTGTGGGTGGATGTTCCTCAAATTGGCCAGTGGTTTGACGGCCAGGGCTTGGATGAAGCGTCAGGTCACGTCACTATATGCCCAGGTGGGAGGTCATAGCAGGACCACTTGGCGATGGGGGACGAAGCCAAAGCCTTGGGTGGAGGTGGGACACATGGGGAGACCAAAATGGCACTGAGGCCCATCAAGACGAAGAAACAGCTGGACACCCTGTTGGGGGAGGAAGACGAGAACCTCATCGTGGTCTTCTTCGCGGCCAAGTGGTGTGGCAACTGTACCAGCATCAAGCCATTCCTCAGGCAACGTTCTCAGCAGCATCCCAACGTGGTCTTCGTGGAGGTCGACGTGGATGAGTCGGAGGAACTGGCCCGAGGGTCGGGGATCACCTGTATGCCCACCTTTCACTTCTACAAGTGCCAGACCAAAGTGGGGGAGTTCTCAGGAACCAAGAGGGAGAAGCTGGACCGTCTGATCATGGATCTCAAATAACCCACCGGCCTGTTCCATCCTCTTCCTGGTCCTTCTTGTGGTCCTGTCCTGTCCTGTCCTGTAGCGTTGTGTCGTGTGAGTGAGTGTGAGTGTGAGTCTGTGTGTGAGTGGTTTTTTTTTCTCAAATATATCCCAAGAAAAACGAAACAGACATAAAAAAAGACCAAAAAAAAAAAAAAAAAGAAGTCTCTCTTTTTGGGCCAATGTCATTTTTTTTTTTGGGAGAGGAGTTTTTCGACCACAGGACAAGAAGAAAAAAAAGAGTCTCTAAGATGCTGGTGATAAGACTTCTGTTCATTTCTCGACGAGTGCCTTTGCTGGGAACCGACACAGAACAAGTTGGTGACTGTTTTAAAGTCTATAGTCCTCTCCCCCCCCCCCACCCCCCCCCCCCCACTCTGCCCACTGGTTCCCTATCAGATTCGCTGCGTAAAATCCAGGACTGTGCGGTCACTACAGCAAAAAACTACAGCTTTCTAATAAATACCGTTCCTATTTAAAGCTTTTTTTCGATTTTTTTTCCAAGAGTGTTGCCCCCTCTCCCCCCAACCCCCCCACAAAGTCTCCCACTTAATGCCTGCATCCTGATTTTCCCCCTCCCTAAGGATTTGAGTGGACTTATAATAATAATAATAATAATAATCCTTGCATTTGTTAACACCGACTTATTAAGTGCTTCGCGGAATAGGCTGTGAAGTTAATCGACTGCGTCGTTTGTGGGCGAAACGACCCAATTATTATTATGTCTTTTCACTTAATTCTGAATTACCCCCGGAGCGAAAGAGCAATCCGCCGATCGGCCGACAGGGGGGGGGGGGGGGGGTTCCTGCTCACTGCTGGGTCAACCGAGGCGTGCGGGTGGAGTAAGGAAACTTACCGAGGGTTTTGACCCGACCCGCCCGGGAATCGAACCCGGGTCCTCTCGCTTGCGAGGCGAGTGCTTTAGCCCCTGAGCCGCAGGGCTCCACCACAAACTACATTCCGTCCGTCTGTGACCAGGGCTCTCCCTGCGTTCCACCCTCCTCGCTCTCCCTCCGCCACCTTCCATGAAGTTGATCCCGCTTCATTCTTCTCCACCGCCTCTCCGCTCGGCTCCACCGTTGCGGTTCTGTCGTTGCCCGGTTTCAACCTCACCTTTCTCTTTTGTCTGCACTTCGCTTCCACCAGCGGTTTCTCCTCTCGGCCCTGCACCGTGCGGCGTTCCTCAGGGGCTCTGCCCTTGGTTCCCCCCCCCCCTCTGCTTCAATATCTATACGCTCCCTCTTGGTGATATCATCCGTAGACACGGGGTCAACTTCCACATGTATGCGGATGACACCCTGTCTCTTTGCCTCCAGCCTTTGACTCCAGGACCACTGCTGTCCTGGCAGATTGTCTGTCAGACATCGAGTCCTGGATGAGAGCTAACTTTCTCCAGCCGAACACTGACAAGACAGAGGACCTCTGGCTTGGCTCCCGTCAGCGTCTCTTCACGTCAGATGGAGGTGGATTGAGTGATCAAATTAACACTGTCAATCCGGGATTGATTGTGAGACACTATTGTGCGCAATTTAATATACAGTCAATTCACTTTACACTATACTCTGTGAAGCCCTTCGAGAAGTCTCAATGATTATTACTATTGTATCTTGACAATCTGCACTTAATACTCTCAGCATTAGGTAAGCAGGGTGTATCTCCGGAGAGAGGAAGAGTGGTGTGTGCTTTCCAATCCAGACATTGGAATTTCCATTTATAGGTGGCGCACATGGACATCTCAAGGATACTCTTAAGAACATAAGAAATTGCTGGCGAAAGAAAGCCAAGGTCCATCTTTTTCGCCTTCCAACCATCCCGGCAGTTGTGTCCCAATACTGTCTCCCCAGATTTTAATGAGAACATGGTGATGGGTTTTGGCAAGTTGGGTAGTTGAGAGTTTCACCGTGATAAGCAACAACAACAACAGCGAGATTACATTTGTGTAGCGCCTTTCACGTTGGGAGGACGTCCCAAGGAGCTGGACAGTGTACAGCATTTCAGACCTGAGCTGGGGTCAGGGAGGGAGAAGAGAGGGGAGGGGAAGGCGGGGGTGACTGATGGCATGGTCAAAGAGGAGGGTTTTGAGGCAGGACTTGAAGGAGGCTAAGGAGGGGGCGAGGTGGAGCGATTGGGGGATGGAATGCCCGAGGTTGGGGCAGAGTGGCCGAAGGCTCTCCCGCCAATGGTGGGGCGGGTGGGTCGCGGGACGTGGAGCAGCCAGAGCCGGCTGAGCGGAGGGAGCGGGCGGGTTGGTAGGGGATTAGGAGATCGCAGAGGTAGGGTGGGGCGAGGCCGTGGAGGGCTTTGTAGGTGAGGACCAGGATCTTGAACTGGATCCTCTGAAGGACAGGGAGCCAATGGAGTCGGGCGAGAATGGGGGAGATGGGGGGTCACGGAGTTTGGTGCGGGAGAGGACACGGGCCGCAGAGTTCTGGATGATCTGCAGCGCTGTGGAGGGAGGAGTTGGGAAGGCCGACACGCAGAGCGTTTGCATCGTCGAGCCTGGAGGTGAGGAAGGCACGAACGGCGGCCTGAGGGGGTGAGGTAGTGGCGGAGTCGGGCGATGTCACGGGAGGTGAGGGAAAGCATCTTTTTTTTTTTACCCGGGTTTATCTGAGGAGGTGTTAATCGGTCTTCGACCGGGCACAGAAGGTGTCCTTGGCGTTGCGAATTGCCACCTGCGATAACGCGAGGTCCAGGGAAGGGATCTCGCCCGCGATGAGAAAAATCACGTCGAGTCGGCCTGTCACAGGGAGAGAGCTTCAGAGGGCTCGTATTACAGGTTAAGTCAAAGTGGGAGCGAAGCAAAGCAAAGCAAAGCCAACAACAACAACAACAACAACTTGAATGTGTAGGACAGCGCCTCTCGCGCAGGGTAGCGTCCCGGAGTGCGCTAAACCAACGACGTTGAACAAGATCTGACCTGGACTGAACCCATCGTTTCACTCAACACGGTTTTCCCCTCCACGACACGGTCCGTCCATCTGTTTTATTCTTCCCTCTGCAGTAAAACCCACATAAGTCGTGTCGATCGGGGACGAGAACATTTAATGACTTCCCCGAATTACGATTTGCAGGCAAACTCGCATAGTTGGGTGCAAAATCCGAGTTAATCGATAATCCGCACTGTGCTTCATAACAGACAGGGAGTGCAGTTGCAGAATTGCGAGTTTGGAGATGATTTGTGTTGTAAAATATAACTAATACAAAGAAATCGAAGTGTTTTCGGGAGGAACTGAATGGGACTCCGATGCACGTTTGACTTACGATGATTTCTGAAGATAAGAGGTGGGACGTTTACTGCAACTGAAACCTGGAAAGCGTTTCTCAGTGAGTGAGTGAGTGAGTGAGTGTGTCAGTGTGTGAATGATTGTGTTAGTGAGTGAGTGTGTCAGTGTGTGAATGGGTGTGTTAGTGAGTGACTGAGTGTGTCAGTGTGTGAATGGGTGTGTTAGTGAGTGAGTGTGTCAGTGTGTGAATGGGTGTGTGAATGGGTGTGTGAGTGAGTGTGTCAGTGTGTAAATGAGTGTGTTAGTGAGTGAGTGTGTGAGTGAGTGTGTCAGTGTGTAAATGAGTGTGTTAGTGAGTGAGTGAGTGTGTTAGTGTGTGATGGGTGTGTTAGTGAGTGTGTCAGTGTGTGAATGAGTGTGTTAGTGAGTGAGTGAGTGTGTGATGGGTGTGTTAGTGAGTGAGTGTGTTAGTGTGTGAGTGAGTGTGTCAGTGTGTAAATGAGTGTGTTAGTGAGTGAGTGTGTGAGTGAGTGTGTCAGTGTGTAAATGAGTGTGTTAGTGAGTGAGTGAGTGTGTTAGTGTGTGATGGGTGTGTTAGTGAGTGTGTGAATGAGTGTGTTAGTGAGTGAGTGTGTGATGGGTGTGTTAGTGAGTGAGTGAGTGTGTTAGTGTGTGATGGGTGTGTTAGTGAGTGAGTGTGTTAGTGTGTGAGTGTGTGAGTGAGTGTGTCAGTGTGTAAATGAGTGTGTTAGTGAGTGAGTGAGTGTGTTAGTGTGTGATGGGTGTGTTAGTGAGTGTGTCAGTGTGTGAATGAGTGTGTTAGTGAGTGAGTGAGTGTGTGAATGGGTGTGTTAGTGAGTGAGTGAGTGAGTGTGTGAATGGGTGTGTTAGTGAGTGAGTGAGTGTGTGAATGAGTGTGTTAGTGAGTGAGTGAGTGTGTCAGTGTGTGATGGGTGTGTTGGTGAGGGGCGGGGGGTGAGTGGTGAGGGCGGGGGGTGAGGGCGGGGGGGAGGGTGAGGGGCGGTCCGAAATCCCGCCTCTCAGTGCGCCTGCGCGCCGAGCCGTTTGGAGCGTTTATTTTCAAAAAAAAGGCGGCAAAAAAAAAAGAGGCGGGGCCACCGCACGCGGCCCTATTGGCGACGCAACCGTCGCCGCCTCGTCCCGTCCTCCCTCCCCTCACTCGCTGGAACCGGGGGGGTGGGGGGGGGGAGAGGACCGCCCGCCTCTAACCGACCGGCCGTCACCGGCTTCACCAGCTCACCTGGTTCCCGGTGCCGCCGCCCCCTCCGCCTCCGCCGCCGCCGACGACGACAACATCGCTCAGGTACCGGCCGCCATTGGCGACTCCCCCTCCCCTCAGCGCGGGCCGACTCCGCACGAAGCCCCGCCCCCTCCTCCTCCTCTAATTGGTCCAAATCAGGGCCCTATCAGCTGGAAGCTCCGCCCCTAAACCCTCCCCCCCACCACCCACCACTACCGCCCACGTGCTCCACGCGTCACAATCGGTCGAACTATGACGCGTGTGGGGCACGCGGAGTGGGGGCGCGGATCTTCCACCTGATTGGTCCCCGGCGGTGATTGACAGTCGGCTCGGCCAATCAGAGAAGGCCAACCGACGCTGGCCGGCCCCTCCCTCCCGACGGAAGGGAGCGGCATTCCTATTGGATCTCGGGTCGGGGACGTCAAAGTAAGTGTCGCTCCGATTGGCTCTGCGGGTGGGAGGGGGGCGGGGCTACAACGGAAGAGAGCGTCGCTCCGATTGGTTGGCTGGTCACTCGACCCATTGGGCGGCGGGAGGCGGGGCTGGCGTGATCGTCGCGCCGACGTCACAAGAGTGGGCGTGGCCTCGGGTGGCGGGCGCGGGAAAGGTGAGGGAAGGACTGGAGAAGCCACGTGTGGGGGCGAGGGAGAGAGTGAGAGAGAGAGTGAGGGAGAGAGAGGGAGAGGAGAGAGTGAGGGAGAGAGAGAGGGAGAGGAGAGAGAGGGGGAGAGTGAGGGAGAGAGGGAGAGAGTGAGGGAGAGAAAGAGAGAGGGAGGAGAGAGAGAGAGTGAGGGAGAGAGAGGGGGAGGGAGAGAGAGAGAGAGAGTGAGGGAGAGAGAGAGAGAGAGGGAGAGAGTGAGGGGGAGAGGGAGAGAGAGAGACAGCCATGGAAGCCCAACAGCAACCGGCCACCAAGGACATGAAGGAGCTGAGCAAAGACACGCTCCTGCAGAGGGAGCGGTCGGACTCGGAGGAGACGGAGGACGAGGTGGAGGAGATGTCGGAGGAGGTGGTGGTGGAAGCCAAGCCGGCGGCGGCCCTGGAGCTCAAGCAGATCAGCAGCAGGGGCAGCTTCGAGAAGTCCCTGAAGGTGGCCGGCGAGCGGCTGGTGGTCTTCTTCTTCACGGGCAGCTGGTGCGAGACGTGCCACCTCTTCAAGCCCTACGTGACGGACCTGGCCCAGGTGAACGTGGAGGCGGTGGACTTCTACGAGGTGAACGTGGACGACTCGGAGGACACGGCCGAGGCGTGCGAGATCGACCACCTGCCCACCTTCCTGCTGTACAAGAAGGGGGAGAAGCTGGCCGAGGTGTGCGACGACAACCGGGCCACCCTGGAGGCCAAGATCAAGGAATTCAAGTGACGTCGCCTCGTGTAATATATATCTATATATATATATCGTATCAAAAGAAAAAACACACCGCACCCCATTCCCATCGAAGACACGTCTCGGCTCGAAGAACAGAAAACGAACCGCCTCTTCGCTCCGATTGCCTTGAACTTTTTATTGGGCCATCGCTCGACCAAAAACGATCTTCAGAACCAACTCCTTCACCCGTCCGCCCGCCCCCAAAAAAAGGCTTTACTTGCACCATTAAAAAGCTCTACAGAACTCCCCCCCCCCCCCACCCACCACCACCCGCCCACCCACCCCCAAAGGAATCTAAAACCATACATTTTCTTTTATGACTCCCTTTCCCCCCCCTCCACCCCCACCCCCCGATTAGCCCATCGACCAGGAAGAAATCAGCGCCGCCCAAAAACTGTCCCAATCTTGTTCCACGTTATATCCAGTCAGTAGGTTAAAAAAAAAGAAAGGAACTTGATTTTTTTTTATATATAATGTTTCCAACAGGACAGACTGACCCCACTCTTGTTTCCCTTGTGCGCTGTTTGATGATGATGGTGGATCTATGCCCGAATCCCCCGCCACTTTGCCACCTCTGGAGCGAACCCATTTCTTACGGTTGAAAAATTTGGCCTCGTTCGTGTATATGCATTTGGAAATAAACTAAAAGTACAGCCTTCTAAACAGCCTCGTGTGGTACACTATTGGTGTAGTGGTGAGAGCACTCGCCTCGCAAGCGAGTGGAATGGGTCCCATTCCATTAAAAATAATAATAATACTCCTTGCGTTCGACACAGCGCCTTATCACGTCGTTGAAACGTCTCAAAAGCGCTTCGCAATGTATGCAACAAAGTGCAGTGACCGCAAACGGTTGTGGACGAAGTGACCGGTTTTTTTTTTCAGGGATTATTGCCCCTGGAAAGCGATCCGCCAATCGGCTTAACGACCGGGTAAACGTAAAAGGGGTTCTACCTTGGCAGTGAGTAGGAACCCGGTTGTTAGTCGATTGCTTGGCATTGGCTGGCTTCGGCCTTCCTGCTTGTCCCTCGTTGCCCTTCGTCCCGCCATCGATGGCCGTGCTTACCTGAAACTCTGGAACTCTCTCCCCCAATCCCTCCACCTCGCCCCCTCCTTCCCCACCTTCAGGTGGCGGCTAAAGACCTTCCTCTTCGACCGTCCCTCCCGCGCCCCCTCCACTCGGCTCAGCATCAATCTCCGCCACCGTCAAGCGCTCTGGGACACTACCCTGTGTGAGGGGCGCTGTGTGAGCCCAAGTCGTTGATGACGGAGAAGGGAGTTCTTCCTGAAGCCCTGGACGACAATCTCCCAACTAACTTAACGGCCCGTGTGCCTCACCCACTGATAAGACATACAAACACGCATCAAGATCCTGTCTTAATCCTGATCGTTTATTGTCGCTCCACGTGATCAGACACGTGTATCTTTACACGCGATTGCACGCACGCGTGTGTTATCGGCAAGAGCGGGTTAACGAGCGGGATAACTGCCTGACACGCTCACCCTTTTGCCATCGTATTCCGAGGTGGTCAAGCACCTCAGGAAGAAATGAGCTAAGTCGTGCTTGGAAATGACCCTCCCGCCCATCCCATCGACGGTCACTGTGTAGGTTCCAGTCAGCGGCTGGTGGTCTGGTACACGAGAGAGTGAGATAGAGAGAGAGAGAGAGAGAGAGAGAGAAAGAGAGATGTTAAGTGTACAACAACAACAATTTGGGGGATTTACAACAACATTTCGCCCACAAAATACACAGTCACTCCACTTGACAGTATATTCCATTTGGGGAGGACGTCCCAAGGCGCTGGACAGTCAGGGATTTGGACCCGAGCTGGGGTTTGGGATCGGGAGGGTTGGAGGATAGGGAGGGTGGGCGATGGAGTTTCAGAGGGTGGGGGCAGGGAGCCTGAAGGCCCGACCACCGATGGTGGGGTGGGCCGGGCTGCTGAGGTGGAGTAGGCCGAGCGGAGGGAGCAGACGGGTCAATATGGCGTTGGCAGGTCACAGAGGTAGGGATGGAAAAGGCCGTGGAGGGCTTTGAAGGAGAGTACGAAGAGGAGAGAGAAGGAGACTGCCCTCTAGTGGTGACAATTGTAGTAGCAGTGGTTGGGGAGTAAGCGGGTCGGAAAGGCAGACAAGGACATGGGGGGGATCTGTAGACGAGTGAGAGGGTCTTGATGGGGTGATGGGGTTTAGTGGGGGTGGTAGGGAGCCAGTGGGGCCCGGAGAGGGCTGGGGTGATGGGGGGGGGATGGGGTTTAGTGGGGTGATAGGGAGCCAGTGGGGCCCGGAGAGGGCTGGGGTGATGGGGGGGGGATGGGGTTTAGTGGGGGTGATAGGGAGCCAGTGGAGCCTGGAGAGGGCTGGGGTGATGGGGGGGGAATGGGGTTTAGTGGGGGTGATAGGGAGCCAGTGGGGCCCGGATTTGGTGGGGAGATCGGCGAGGAGGGCACTTGAGTCATGGAACCTACCATCGATGTGGGGCGGAAGCACAGCCACATAGTCCAGGCCGGACTCCTTCAGGACCTCGTACATTCTGGAGTGATCGTTGTTCACTTCGACAATCCTCGCGGGAATCTTTTCTGCTTCCCAGAACAGGAACGCTGGGAACCACAGCGATACACCAATCAATCAATCACTCACTCAATCAATCAATCAATCAATCACTCAATCAATCACTCAATCAATCACTCAATCAATCACTCAATCAATGACTCAATCAATGACTCAATCAATCAATCACATCATCATCAATGTCACACAA